CCCCAAAACCCCAAAACCCCAAAACCCCAATCTCAATATATGCTAAGAAAAGTAGGTGAAAGATTAATTTCAAGAAAACTATATAAATAGATACGCACAAACCAGTTTTATATTTCACTAATCACTTTCTCATTTCAACTTCTTCTGCTTGCTTGCAGCTGGTTTATTTTCACTTGCAAAGGGCTAAATTATTATTAAAAATATGAATAATTGATACATTTAGTCTTTTCTATCCTATTTATGGATTTATTTATTTAGCTTCAGAGAGATCCTTGAATATGTCTGTGGTATTTCCACTTGTTTGTTTCTTATTAAGATCTACTACTTGTTTCTTAGCAAATGGATTCGCCTAATGATAAATTTTAGAGTTATGTAATTTACATTGTTCTTTTAGGTTAATACTTTTTCTTAAACTGCATTTTATGCTACCTAATTGCTAGAATTTCTAATATTTTCGCTGTCCTAATTATCATTATTATTAAGATTCATCTTGATATGAAGACCATTTCCTTAACTGATTTAGTTTTGATTCATTTGAGTATCCTCATTATTAAATTAGGATACAATTACTGTTTAAGATTAGTTATTGATGGCGAATTAAGACAAATCTGGTTTCTCATTTGATGATGCAGTGTGTGCACTTCTGAAGATTTTTCTGCCCTCAAGCCTTGAAGCAATAGTATTCTTATTATTTGAGCTAGACTTATAAGAATCAAGCATGATATCCTTTTGCTCCTTATCTTAGATGAACTTGCTGATTTTTTAGGCAAGATCATTTGATTATAGATTATCGCAGAGCTGAACACATAGTTTAAGACTTTATGAGAAATGCATCATATCCATAAATGTGAAAACTTTATCTTAGTCATCACTTATGATGCAGAGTCTAATTGCATTAAGGATCAGTTTATCTATCTCTTTCTTGAGATTTGTAAGCTTTGTTGAATCCAAAATAGTTTCAGATAGCATATAATTGTTGTCATACTTCTACCTGAAATGCCTTAAATGCTCCCATTAATCTTTTCTGTAAGTTTCGAAATCTAATAACTAAACCTTCCTCATAATTTCCTCTTCAATTTAAGGCAGGGTCATATCTTTAGAATCAATATCTTTTCTCTCTTACTCTAAGAATGGCAATTTGAGCTAGAACCTTCTAATCATGGATTACTATTTAAGATGAGGTGCTTAATAGCCCTTAGGAAGTTCTATCGCTAGTACTTCTTTTTCTGAAATACCGACGATCCAAATTTAGCTGAAATTGCTTGGAAGCTTTTGCTTAAAGTCGAGAATTGGAATCCATTAGTTGTTCAATGGATTGAGACATCTAATAATTCCTTCAACATCATGAGTAAATAATTGACCTTCTTCGGAATATCCTATCCATACTAGATTTGAAGTCCTGCTTAAGGGGCACTCGATGTCACTGATAATAGAATAATTCTTACAATTCATATCATAAGTTCTAACTTTCATTGCTTAGCATCCATATACTGGGGGACCAGCATGATATGCTATGGACAGTAAGTTTTCATAACCAGTCATTGATACTAGTGGTGTTGCCAAACTGAAAATGTATTTCTAGATGCCTTCATTAGAAAACACTCTAACATAATTAAGGTTTGTGTAAATAGCAACCCAGTCAGATCCATTAGCTAAACACTCAATATTTTCTCCAAGGTCTAGCTGATAATGCCAATCTCTAAGAGTTTTGTACTGAGAAAAGGGCTTGAAATAGATATGTGAGTGTTTCCTGAGTTTTTTCTATTCTCTCTCAGCTTTTTTAGCATCAGATTCCATTTCGTCTTCCTCAAGATCGTCTTCTTCATAATCATCTTCATTGACTTTCTCAGCTTCGCTAGCTAATGCTAAGCCACTATAATTCATTGATGCCATTGAAAAATGATAATCATCTCTGAACATCAGATTTCTGTGGAATCCCTTGTTGCTGAAATCAACATCAACTGATGTGTAATCAAACTCTTCTCTCAAGGTTACAGTACCTACCATGTTCCAAGCTAGGATTCTATACTTGCCGACTGGGAAATCATATTGGCAATTTGAAATCATAGTATCTTATGGATAGCAATCAATTATCTAGTCTGCCTTGCTGACTACTTCTTTAGGCTTAACTTCTTTTGGGTTATTTTAATTCAGTATTGATCTGCCTGCTTTTGAAATTTTAGCTTAATTCATAATATCTTAATCGCCATTTTGAACTACAGTTGCTTGCGATTTTACTATTTATTGAGCATTATCAGTTACTTTCTATTCTTCTGTCTCCATTTTTAGGTCATCTTATGAAACATCGATTTCATCAATCATCGCTTCATCTATATCATTCTCATTCATTGAGTTGATATTAAAGCTTTAAAACTCCTAATCATTCTGAAGTATATTATGAATGATAAAATTACTTTCATAAGATCATTCTATGAACTATTATTAACAGGCAAATTTGGACTATATTCTTGGAATTCCTTATTCCAAATACCAAAATTACTTTCAAAATCTACATAAGCAAAACTTTTGTTCTAATAATCATTAATGAAGAATTTAAATACCTTTAAGCAGTATTAGACTTCAAGAGCCTCATTCTTAATATGCATAAAGTAAAGCAGCTGTTTATTTGTAAAGTTCCAAAAGTTTATAATCTTATCTGAACCTCCAGTTACTAAAACAGAGTCATTAATCCAAGTCAGAGTAGTAATGATGTTTTGCTTCGTATCATCTTTCCTCATTTTATGCATAATCTCAGATGAATAGGTTAATTTCCAGTCCTCATCTTTTTTAATCATTCCTAATTAAGGTTCTCCACTAACTAAAATCATAGATCCGTCTTATGTCCAAGTCACATCTAAGGGATACTTATCAAAAGTTTTAAATCCTTTCATCTTAGATATTTTGATTTTTTTAACCATTGTGATCTCTCCGTCTTCTCCTTGAGGTAACTCGTAGATCATAACATTTCCATCACATCCTGTAGTTGCTAAATACTCTCCTAATGGATCAATCGCTCCATTTTTAATGCTACCTTCATGTCCAGGTCTATTATCAGAGTTTTTAAAATTGATAAAATTACTTGAAAGTTAGTACTTTTTCAGTATCTGAGTTATAAAGCTAGGCTTCAGAATCCTCAGAGAATCCTAAAATAAATTTGCCAGTCCATTAGATTCTCTAGACTGGAGAGCTGAATTTCATTGCAAGTGATGGTTCGCTGAAAGTAGTATTTTCCAATTTCTCTACAAAATTGTCGGAATCCATCACCCCATTTTAGAATAAGTTATGAATATCAATTTGACATTTTTCTCCCCCTAGAGCTATCTTATCAACATTATTCGATGCAACTGCAAAGTATTCATTATCAAGGTAAACTTATTTCAATAACTTATGAGATTTAGCATCGTAGATATTCATGATTGTGTCTTCAGCCACTGATATGATTTTACTATATATAATGTCAGATATCTGAGGAAAGAATTAGTTTAATAGTAGCATCATTTAATCATAGTTAATTACTTACTCCTAGAAGAAAGTAAAGCTGATCTTGTTAGAAAGATTATTGCTTTGAGTCTCAATTTTTACTTCGGTCATTTGCCTCTTTAAATATGCGGGAATTTTAATTTTACTTTTATTAATTTCAATTTCTAACTTATTCTCATCTTCAGGGGTTTTGGGGTTTTGGGGTTTTGGGG